CTCTCAACCAGGGACACGTGGTCGGTTGCCCCCAAGGACCAAAGAGACCATATTTGCTCTCAACATCACTTTTGCCCCTCAGCTGAGGACACGTGATCGGTTTCCCCCAAGGACCAAAGAGACCATATCTTCCCTCAATAATACTTCTTCCCCTCAATCAGGGACATGTGGTCAGTTGTCCCCCTAGGACCAACAGGACCACCGCCCTCTGTGGCTACTTTTGTCCATCAGTTGGGTATACGTGGTCGGTTGTCCCCCCAGGATCAATGAGACCACAACTTCCCGCTCAAACAGGCTAGTCCTCATCCTGCCAGCCACACGAGAACAATGATCTAGGAATGGAAAGAATCACGCTTGCCCGTGAACACTTCTCTTCCCGTTGTAACGACAAATATCTCTGCCAGTTACAACTAATTCATGGCATCCTTACGTCTGCCCACATCGGCCACTTCCACATCTACTCGACACGCGTGGAGAAGACAACCAGGGAATGTCCAAGACGCATCTGTCCACAGTAGTGGCTTCCTTCACGTCTGCCCAACACAAGTCGAGCAGATAACTATGGATCGTCCAAACACATCTGCTCATAACCTACCTCTTGCTCGGATCCAACGACTAGTTACGGGTATGACTGTCTGTTTTGACCAAGTCCTGGCAGTTACCTATTTTTACAGACCCACATATCTAGGCCCAAAAATAGGGACCAATGGCTAAGCGCCAGAGGAATTATATAAACTTTTTACACAATTGAGGGACAAGGATAGAATGTTCATCACATACTTCTAAAACCCTAGATTTTCTATCTTGTATCTCTTTGTGCTCCTATTGACTTTAGCATCTGAGTGCCTTCCAAGTACGCGCCTCCTCCTCCATTCAAACATTAAAGTCAAAGTCTCTGGCCCACTTCAGGTTCTAGTCAACCAGTAAGATCAGAAACCAATTTATCACAATACATCATCTTTCAAATATCACATGATATCAACACTTACACATAGAAATCCATGAAAAATCACAACCAAGAAGCTACAATTTAATTTAAATCAGTAGTGATAGGAGAGATACTTATGACCTAAACTCATGAATTATCATCTCAATGGAAATTCATATGTGAACTCATACAAATTTGGGGTTTGAGGGAAACCTCACTACCCTAAACGCTAGAATACCAAGATTATAGAATAATTTCCCTTCCTTACCTTATTTTTTTGAATTTCTTCGCGAAGCTCTTAACAATGGTGAAAATATTTCCTTTACATAAACTCTACTGCAACATTCTTGGTGAATTTTGGAGTTTTTCTATTAGATTTTTGGAGAAGAAGGATTTTGGAGAAGAAAAGGGTATTTCTGTGAATTTTTTGACAACTAGGATTTTTTGTCCCCTAATACGTGTTTATCTTTTTATCTCCTCTCTCTCTCTCTCTCTCTCTCTCTCTATATATATATATATATATATATATATATATATATATATATATATATATATATATATATATATATATATATATATATATATATATATATATATATATATATATATATATATATATATATATATATATATATATATATATATATATATATATATATATATATATATATATATATATATATATATATATATATATATATATATATATATATATATATATATATATATATATATATATATATATTTCCTTTTCTATTTCTCTCATTTTTCTCTCTATTTATTTCCTCTTCTATTTCTCTCTATTTTTTTCTTTCCATTATCTCTGAAAATTTTGAATTTACAAAAAATTCTCAATAATTAATATTATTAATAATAATAATAATAATAATAATTATTTTGTCTGTTTTATATCTCCAACTGAGCCAAGGGATTATTGAGTTATAGTGTAGAATAGTGAGTTATACACCAAGAAATTGGATATAATAACAAAGTTAAACTATCATGATCTGCGAGGAATCATCATAAGGAAAATATACACCAATATCGATAATGACATATAAGAGATTCAAAGCAAGCCCTAACTGTCTTTAATATGGTTAATCTTTCAACAAGTTTATTTTCACAATTATTCTTTCTAACCAAACATTTGAAATCCCCCAATTTTACTTTCAATAACACCTTAATCTTCTTGATAAGATAAAATAATACTTATATTTAATTTATTACTTCAATGACATTTGGTACACTTGCTAAAAGTCCATCAATTATTTATATTATTTTCATGAGAAAGGTTACATGAAGAGATAATGTAGGAATCTCAAAAGAAATCAACAAGAAAATGGTATTGTGAGTTATATATCCGCTACTATTTCTCAAGGAAATGAGGTAATATTAGTTTGTGACGACGGTCATGTTAATTTTTCATCCCAAGATACATGTTTAGTTTTCATTATGGTGCAACATTCCTTGTAAGATCATGAAAATATTTCTTTTCCTCCTATACAAGTTGTGGTTTTGGTCATGTAAGGACGAGGAATGATAATGCATCCAAAATTTTGGTAAAAAGAGATATTTGTCTAGAAAAAAATACTAGTATAGCCTTCATCATCTAATATCCACCAAACTACTAGATGATGAAGGCTATACTAGTGTGTTTGGGAATAATCAATAGAAGCTAACAAAAATGTCCCTTGGTAATATCTCGAGGTAAGAAATAAGCATTTTTTATATGATAGAAGCCAAAGTCAATAATGGGTGTGATACTGCTCTTAAAGAAGACTCCTCAGTTGAGCTAAGGCATAAAAGACTCAGACATTTGAGTGAGCAGGGACATAAAATTCAAACCAAAATAGGTAATTAGGAAGGTATGAAAGGATTTAAAATGTCTCTTAAGACATGTACACTTTACTCGTCTAGAAAGAAACATAGAGCTTCATTTCAACATAAAGCTCCACCTAGAAAACCAAATGTTTTGGAGTTAGTGCATTTTGTTGTTTGTGGTCAAATGACCACTAATACTCATGGAGGTGCTAGGTAATTTGTTATCTCTATTGACGACCTCTCCTGAAAAACATTACTAGAAGCAAAGATGTTATTTTATTTAAAGAGAAAAATATTGAAGAAATTTAGAAGGGATTCAAGAATGTTATTGCTAGAGAACGTCCCACCAACTTATATTCAATTCCACCTCTAGAGAATTATGGGAGGAGAGGAAATATAATATATTGGTGATGTAAAAAATGAACCTCCAATGGATAATGACCCAACTGAAGTAGTAACAGATCGTAATAGAAGAACAAAATTTGTGGCTATTGCTAGAAAAATGTATAGATAAGGTATTAGAGAGATTTCACATAGCAAAGGCAAAGCGACTTGCTACTCCACTTGCTAGTCAATTTCGTCTTAATCTAAAACAGATTCTTACAACTGAAATTCAAAACTAGGAGATGAACAATGTTCCATATGCCTCAACTATTAGAAGCTTGATGTACACAATAGTATATACACCAGGAGGAGATGAGAAATGGAGAATGGAAATTTGTAAAGTGGATCTTGCAATATCGCAGAGGAACTTTCAACGTGAGTTTGGCTTTGGAATTAGAAAACTTGAATTAATTAAGGATTAGGGTAAAATCTGTTTAATGAGTGTTTTTAGAGTAAAATATGATTATTATACCCCTAGGTTTTAACTATAAATTGAGGTAAATTATCATCCCTTTTCAACTATCACCTCGATTTTCGATTAAAACTGAGGTGAATAATTTTTTTTAAAATACTATATTGTTTACACAGAATATTAAGATAAATTGTTTACAACAAATCTTTTCAAAGGTTAAACTCCATTCTTTGTGAAAGTTGAAACTCCATTCTCTGTTTAAACTCAAACTTCTAAAAGATTGATACTTGAATGTCAGAACTTTGCATTCAAATTCACCATTTTTTAGTTGTCTGTTTGTTTGAAGATAGCAGTCTATAATCCGAATTTTTGATGCAATTGTGTACATTCTTTTTAAGCTAAATGATTTGAATGCATCCAATTTCTAGTAAGTTATATGTTCTAAATATTAGAAGATGTTTATTCCGTACTTACAATCCATCATAGGAAATTTATTCCAAAAATATAACAACACCAACACCAACACCGTTATGTGATATAGATTGCAAGAGCAGAAAAATGTGTTATTTTAGATAGAAGAACATTGAACATTTTTTCTGTGTTGCAATCCATTCCAAAGAATAATTCATGCGAGTTTGGGGCGGCTTAATATAAGTAAGGATTAGGTCAAAATCTGTTTGACGAGTGCTTTTATAGTGAAATCAGATTATTTGATCCATCGGTTATATCTAAAAATCGAAGGGTTAGTTTATTCAATTCACACTTATAAACAAATAAAAATATAAACAATAAAAATTGGGATTCGAAGTGTATCCTGACTTATTTTTTCCCTCGGTTTCATAAAATCTAAGGAAATATGTTGTTTTTATTATTATAAAAAAAAATGACACGCCTAAGTATAATAAGTCTTTTTTTTTTTCGGGTTGAGGTGAAAACTTCGTAGTGAAATGAATTATTTATAGTAGTGATGAATTATTTATAGTAGTGTGTATAGAATTGCATCATGTATGTGTGTAGTAGAAGTGCAACATAAGTGCAGTGCACCATGCATGTGTATGTGTAATAGAGAAGCATGATTGCATTAGATCTCATGCATAAATATGTGTGCCATGACTTTGTAATAAACCAATTCATTAAAAGCATAATGCAATGAAGTTCACAATTGGTTTTTCTCTCATTGTTAAGATTGAATATGAAAAGATCCTTATCTTTTCCAAGTACTGCAAGAGTGTTTTACAATTGATCAATCATTGTAGATAAAAAGAGTTGCTAGATAACAAGACAAAGATAATAAGAAGACAATTTTATTGATTTCGTACATGGGGTGGTAGAACACATCATGCTAAATGAAGATAATTTTTTGGATTTCGCTTTTAGATTACATTTGCACAGATGTTAGGCTCAAATAAGGTATCATTTTGATCTTACAATTATGGAATCACAATTCCACATGCTTCACATCTTTGACATTGTGTAGTCCATCACTTCTACTAGAAAATCTACAATTATGGAGAAAATAGTCTGAATTAGCAAACAAAACAGGAACAAAATGGAGTATCAGAAATCAAAAGAAAACGGTGATGCCGATGAATTATGACAATCAACCTGCATCTTCCTTAGTGAAGCAAAGTGGAGGTGTAATCCTTAAAACATTTCCATAAAAGCCACCTTTCCCAACTAGTACTCCCATATCTGACGAGATATAACACGTTGAGTCAAGCGCAAGTGGTTGGTGCGTAGAATGTTTAAGTGTTGTAAACCTTAGAGTACCGAATTCAACTCTTAATGATTTAAAAAAAAGATAGAACCTTTCATTTGTTCTAGGATATGCAGATTTTCATCTTTTGCAGGAATCTTCAGCTTCCGATCTTTCACTAGTTCAACTCCTAGCAACATTCCCCTTCCCCTTACATCTCCAATTACTGCCATAAAAAATCATGTTAGTACTATTAGTATTGATAATCCAAACAAACAAAAGATGAAAGAAAAAGAAGCTTACTCTCATGCTTTTCCTTTAGCGAGTTAAGACGGTCCTTTAAATATGATCCAACAACATGTGCATTTTGCTGAAGTTCATCCTTCTCAATTACATTGAGAACAGCTAATCCAGCAGCAGTACAAACAGGATTTCCTCCAAACGTGCTAAAATAGTATGCATATTTCAGAACTTTTGCAATCTCACGAGTTGTTACCACTGCACCAATAGGCGCGCCGTTTCCAATTCCCTGATACAAACCAAATACCAAGAGATGTAATGAATTAACTAACTGTTAGCATTTTCTCCAAACTAATGTTGCTAAATCCTAAAGAAGCGCGTTTACCTTTGCCATTGTAACAATGTCAGGGATAATTCCGTGCGCCTCAAAACCCCAAAAATGACTACCAGTTCGACCAAAGCCTGACTGAACCTCGTCAGCTATAAAGAGTCCTCCTGCTTTTTTGATGATACTATAAACTGCAGGCAAGTAACCTGGTGCCAATTCTATCACTCCACCCACTCCCTGTGTCAACATCAACCTTTCACTATATAATATGCACCCTTTTATGTCATAGTTTATTATCGGATTTTACGTGTCTGTGTCAATATCCTATCTTGGTTTGTGTCGGTACTTCATAGATTTTAACTATTACCTGAATGGCCTCAGCAACAAAGCCAGCTACATGACCACAAGTTCCATAATTAATAATATCTTGAACATCATTTGCATATTTTGCTCCATCCAAACCGAAAACTCCTCTGTACGGATCGGGGTTAAGGACATGGTGAATTCCAGTCTACTACCATATACACAATAACTAGAATAAGAGTTGTTGTAAAGTTAGATTTCACAACAAAATACCATCATTATGAGACAAAAGTTGGCACCTGTACAACATTAAACTTATGAAAAAACTGAGCAGTGGTACCCATTGTTGAGGTTGCATTTCCATGGTAACCATTTCTTATGGAAATTACATCATGGTAGCCAGTGTACAGCCTTGCCATCATCAAAGCCAGCTCATTGGCTTCTGTCCCAGAATTTGTGAAGAAAACAACCTTAAAAATTGAAAACTTTTCATCATTACGGGTGAAAAAACAAATTTGAAGAAAACATGCATGCGAAGACATGACTCGAATTTCCCCACTGGTGGTACTGAAGATTGAAAAATTTACCACAGACAATTCTCAAAGGCACTTCAAGTAAAATGACCAAGCATGAGAAAGCGTGTTCCGTGTTCCGACAATCAACATGCTTTCGTATTTTTGATTTTCTAGCACCAAAAAGTGGATCTTTTACGGATAGTGCTAAGGCTCATGCATACAATTTGAGAGAATAAATTGCAGGGTTGTTGTAATTTCGAAGACCAGAATGCTTGATTTATTAAAAAAAAAAATAAAAACCTTAAGTTCTCCAGGCATTTTAGCAGCAAGTGCCTCAGCAAAATCAACAACAGCATGATTCAAATAAAGAACAGTAGTATGCTGCAAAAGCCTAGTCTGATTAACAATTGCTTCAACAACATCAGGGTGACAATGACCACACAAAACAGTAGCAATTCCACCAAATGCATCAAGGTATCTTCTACCATTTTCATCATACACATATTGCATTTTACCCTCCACCAGATTTAACTGCATGTCACAATTTAGCATAAAGTAAGTATAGTTTTTTGTGCAAGAACATTTCATCAAATAACACTCTTCTGAGTTCGAAACAGCTTACTGGGTGAGTGTAATATGTGCCAACGATAGTGGGGAGATATTGTTTTCTTCTTTTTGAGAGATCGGATGCTAAAGGGCCATTGTAGGGAGCTGGAGTGTGACTAAAGTGTGGAATTTTGGGAAGAGATTCCACACCATTTTCATTACTTGGAGTTCGTGTTACGGTGGTGAATACACCACGTTGCCACCTGCTAATTTGTTTAGTAACTTGCCGTAGCTGCATCCTTAGCAATATTCAGTGCCGTGTGGTTCAGACTTCACTATACTATGTAGATAATGAACTCTTTATGGTTTGACACTTCATTTTAGGATTTGTTTTATTTTGGAGTGAAAATATTTGATTTCTAGTAAATTCATTTTGTAAAATTTATTCGTAGGTCCAATCGCCATGCTCACGTGCATAGAAGACACTAGGATTAGGACATACCTTACTCAAGCACAAAAATATGATCCTGACCCTTAGTCTATCCTCCACCGTTGAATCTAATCGAATAATGATTCACACGATGTATCGGGTTAGACGGAAGCGGTTTTAATCCCTCGTATCTTTGCACACGATAATTTTAATTATTCAATTTATTCTCACTCTTAAACTACTTCTCCTTCATTTTATTGACTTGAACATTGAAATGTTAATATATTGTTCACTCTACTGCGCTGTACCGGAAGCATGCCACCACAATTGATTCTTGTTTTCCTCCATCAACACCTATTATTAATTTTAATACGGAACTGTGATGCGTCTATGAGAATTGAAATCTGATTCTCGCACATTGTTAGTTACAATATAGGCGCAAAATGGTTTAGAAAGGGGATTTAATAGATATTTCTCTTATAAAAATTGTTTTCAAAATCAAAGTTAAAAAAGTTCGGAGCAAAAGTTTTTAAAAAGTCTTTTAAAGGAATTATGCGATCAAAGTAATGTATAAAAAATTAAAGATTTACAAGATGATAATGAATTAACTAAGAAAAATGTGGTAGTTACTTCAATTAGATTCAAACATAGAGGTTTGAATAATGTAGTTGTTAAAATTATAATATGTGACAACTCCTAGTGATTAAGGATTGTCAGAGATTTTTAGGGTTTGTTGTAGTATTAGAGCTAACTCACGCAGAGAGGTAAGGAGCTCTAAATGTAATATTTAAGTCTCACAAATTGGAATTTATATGAAATTCTTGGGCTTAGGTTGTACACCCAGATAAAATAACCTCTCTCAAGAATATAAGAGGTCAATCCCATGTCATTCAGGAGAACATGATAAATTCCCCCATTGACTTTCTCTTCGAGCCATTGTGTACTAGGATATGTCAATTCTCAAGTTCTTATGAATCAGGCAAGTTATCTACGAAATGGGTGATGTATTTGAGAAATAGACGACCGTCCTAATAAATAGGCGGCCATGGAGTCTCTTACGTGAGTGACATACCACCTCCCTTATCTTGAGAAACTTCGGGCACCTCCCTAAGTGGACCTTTACACTTATACTAATGCACAGTCCCTCGAGCATAAGACTTTTATATAGAGTGTTCCTACTAGGAACTATAAATGGACGCAGTTGGAGAACTGATATTCTTGAATGATGGTGTTGTTCTCCTTCACAAAAGCGTGGGGTGTGTAAGTTCCTTAGATTTAAGGATTGACATAAATTTTTGTAAAACAAATATAGTAGTAATATGTTAGATAGGAAGTATTAACTTACTAACAGGAACAAGTAGAGCAAGAAGTCCTATCTTATATTAGGACATATTGAGTTGAAGTGTTTCAACATCTGGAACAACATGTCAGATAAGATGTCCTATGAAGGAGCATACGAAATCGCGCCTGAGCTGAAGTGGACAGTTAGATTCTGTTATGATTCTGTTATGATTTGGTTGGGGAATGCAGATATCAGTTTTCTGAAAGAACCTGCTGGGGAAGGAATTCCTGCTTGGGGATACGGAGGTCGGACCTTGGTTGTCTCGGCTCTGTGGAGAATATAGGTATCACTGGCTTGTATGTGATAGTGACTTCGCTTCCAACTGTCTCTGCCCCTTGTACCATGATGGACGGAGTAACTGTTGGCATTTAGGCTTTGTACTGGTTTCTTTGAGTTCTTAGTAACTGTCTTTCTGTTTTATATGCATATATTTGTGAACAGTAATCATATTCAAATGCATATGTCAAGAATAAAACATTGGACGTTTTTTTTTGCAAAACAAAACAGAAAACGGAAAAAACAAACACAGAGTTTTGTACTCAAAAGACGCTTTGTATTGATTTGAAATTTGCCTATAACAAGCATTTTTTATAAGGAGGATGACGCCCTAGTAAGAGAACGTTGCCGTGAAAATGGAAATTATTACAGAAACTGTGTACAAAAAGAAAACAGCTATGTGCAGTGATCCCATTGGGTTTCAATTCTGCTATTGCCCCTATGTCTTCGAGCATCTCATCACTTTGTTGCTTGTCCGAAGCTGACTGGATTGATTGGTATCGTTTGAGCTTGATATCTGATTACTGAGGTCTGATTGCAAGGTGATCCAATGGGACATAATGATACGCTTTAATCCCTAATTTTTTCCTGGACCGCCCTTTCGGGTTTTCAGTCCACCGGGATACCCTTTTTTGTCCAAGCCGCCCTTTCGGGTTTTCGACTTGCCGGGTGTATAAATTTTTTTAATTTTTTTATCCCTAATTTTTACCCGAACCCTTTTGGTTCGCCGAGATGCCCTTATTTTTGCCTAGGTATGTCAACCTAGCGGGTATTTATTATGCGTAGTATCTTTTCACTATGTCCGCATTGACAGGGTATGGAAGGTCGTCACTATCCATGGTGGTCAGAATCATGGCTCCACCGGAAAATATGTTCTTGACTACAAATGGCCCCTCATAGGTGGGAGTCCATTTGCCCCTGGGATCACCATGCGGCAGTATGATGCACTTGATTACCAGATCCCCTACTTGATACACTTGTTGTCTAACTTTCTTGTTGAAGGCCTTGATCATCCGTTTCTGATACATTTGACCATGGCAGACAACAGTAAGTCTTTTCTCGTCGATTTAGTTCAATTGATCAAGTCGAGTCTGGATCCAATCGTCTTCACTCAAACCCGCATCCTTCATAATCCGTAGAGAAGGGATCTGGACCTCCATGGGTAGGATAGCCTCCATGCCATATACCAGAGAATAGGGTGTTGTCCCTGTCGACGTACATGCTGAAGTACGGTACCCGTGAAGAGAAAACGGTAACATCTCGTGCCAGTCTTTGTATGTCACCATCATCTTCTGTATGATCTTTTTAATATTATTATTAGCAGCTTCGACAACCCCATTCATCATCGGCCGGTAAGGAGAAGAGTTGTGATGCTGAATCTTGAACTGTTTACAGAGTTCAGTGATCATCGAGTTGTTGAGATTGGTACCATTATCCGTGATGATTCTCTCAGAGATACCATAACGACAAACCAAGTTATGCTTGATGAACCGTGCCACCACATTCTTGGTAACCGTAGCAAAGGAGGCAGTCTCAACACACTTCGTGAAGTAATTAATGGACACTAGGATGAAGCAATTCCCGTTAGACGCGGTAGGTCTGATCTCGCCGATCATGTCAATGCCCCACATTGCAAAGGGCCAGGGAGCTGTCAAGACGTTTAAGGGAACTGGAGGTACATGCACCTTATCAGCATAGATTTGGCACTTGTGACAGGTTCGAGAATGCTGATAACAGTCGGCTTCCATAGTGGATCAGTAGTATCCTTCCCGTAGGATCTTCTACGCCATGGTATGTCCACTGGAATGAGTGCCAAAGGTACCTTCATATAGGTCTGCCATGATCCTCTCTGCTTCTCTCTTGTCTACACACCACAGTAAGGTAGAGTCATGATTGCGCTTATAGAGGATTCCATTGTTGAGGAAGAACTTTGCAGCAAATCTTCTCATAAATTTCTTGTCATTGACAGATGCCCCTTCGGGGTATTCTTGAGTTTCGAGGTACCTTCTGACTTCATGAAACCAAGGTTTGTCAGCTACCTCATCAGTATCGAGCTCACAGCAGTATGCCGGTTCATCCAACCTCTCCATAATGATTAGGGGAGCTTCATTGTCCCACCTGACCTTGAACATTGACGACATAGTAGCTAGCGCGTCCGCTAACTGATTCTCTTCTCGTGGGAAATGTTCAAAAGTGATCTCTTTAAAATGCGGTAGTAGTGTCAGTACATGCTCTTTGTAAGGGATAATGTTTGGGTGTTTCGTATCTCACTTGCCTTTGATATGACTTATCACCATAGAGAAATCCCCGAATACACTCAAGAACTCGATCCTTAGGTCAATAGCAGCTCTAAGACCCATGATACACGCTTCATACTCTGCCATGTTGTTGGTACAGTTGAAACATAATCGGGCAGTGAACGGAGTATGATAGCCCTCAGAAGATATGATTACAATGCCAATGCCATTACCCAGTGCGTTTGAGGCTCCATCAAAAAACATACACCATCGGGATCCTTCCTCAGGTCCTTCATCCGGTCCAGGTTCTTCATAGTCGGTTACTAACATGATGTTCTCATCCGGGAACTCAAAATTCATGGACTGGTAGTTATCCACGGCATGATGTGCGAAATGATTAGCTAACACACTTCCCTTAATTGCTTTTTGGGTTGTGTATTGGATGTCGTACTCAGTCAAGATCATTTGCCATCTTGATATTCTTCCGGAGAGAGCGGGCTTCTAGAAAATGTACTTGATCGGATCCATCTTAGATATCAACAAAGTAGTGTGGGTCAACATATACTGTCTCAGTTGGCGAGAAGCCCATGCAAAAGCGCAACAAGTTTTCTCGAGCAGTTAGTATCGTGTTTCACAGTCGGTAAACTTTTTGCTAAGGTAGTATATTGCATGCTCTTTTCGACCAGACTCGTCATGCTGCCCCAGCACACACCCCATTGAATTATCTAGCACTGTTAAGTACATTACCAAAGGTCTTCCTTCAGTCGGAGGCATCAGAATAGGAGGTTCTTTGAGTCATTGCTTGATTCTGTCAAAGGCGACTTGGCATTCTTCATTCCACTTTACCACTTGATCTTTCTTCAGAAGCTTGAAGATTGGCTCACAAGTAGCAGTCATATGTGAAATGAATCGGGCAATGTAATTCAGGCGTCCCAAGAAACCTCTAACTTCCTTCTCAGTGCGGGGAGCCGGCATCTCTTGTATGGCCTTCACCTTTGCAGGGTCTACTTGAA